GGAATGTAAGGAATACCGGAAAAAAGATAAGTAAAAATTACTTGTGCTTAATTAGTAGACTGAAGGATTGAGATGGAGTTGAGCAGCCTGCAAAAAGGAGGCGACACAACTTGTCATGGTTCAAATCATAGTCACTCATCTGTACTTTTAGCTCACTATTACTCTCTCACATTGAGACCAAAAACAAAAAAAAGGCTCATCAACAAAACCAGACGTGTGTCCGACCTTGCGCAATTGAAGTGATGGTTATAACTTAAATGTATAAAGGGAGAGATGGTGGTCATGAAACCTTGATGGCAAAAAGCAGACGTTCCTTTTTGCTGTTTTAATTACTCTGAGCCATCACTGAGGGTTTCATGCATAAGTGAACACAAACAGGCACATACACATACAGTGACAGACACACTTACAGGCATCGAAGTTGACATATGACCTTAACTAACCAAATCACTTTATACTTGATCAAAGAGGCCAGATGTAGAGTGTATATACCACTTTTTAGTGATTTGCCGGTGAGTTTTCTTGACTCGTTAGCTTGAATTTTGTTGTGACGATGATACCTTGCTCTGATGATTCGTCTGTGACGGACGAAAGTTTAGCACCTTTTCACCGGAATCGAAGGAGATTACCTCGGAAACAGCGTCAGAATGAATATTTCAGTAAAACCAATCGACAGCTGGTCAAGAGTAATCCGCCGTCGTCTTCTGGTGAAACCTACCCTCGAATGTCTTTACCCAACACTTTCACTCGAAATAGAAGTAAGCTCAACAATTATGAAAAAAGAGATTACTCGAAACCCAACTTTTCTTCGCGTAAATTCTCTTAACCTTGTCTCTCAGACGATTTTATCATCCAGTATTGACTTCGGTTTCCACTTCGCCTGGGGCTCATCAGCACCTGCGACAGGATCCAAGACCGCTTTGAGAAACTCTGTATGACTAAAACCGTTTTGTAGGCAACTCCAAGTAAATCCTATTGGCATCACTTTACTTAACCGAGGATGACTATAGCTTTTATTCACGATTTAGTGATAGCCTCGGCACCGCACTTCGCCATCGTTTTTGCCTTCCCATTCAAAATCCTTGCCTCTAACATTTCATCTTCTGTACAAGTTACTCAGTAACTCGTTATTTTATTTCTCTATACAAGACAGGGTTACTCTACACAGTAAAGCGAAGGCGATTACATATTTCCAGTAAATAATTTGGCTCACTATACAGAAAAAAACGTGTCGGGCAACCATCCTGACCATGTGATAACCATCATAAGCAGTCCCCATATACCTAAGTAAAAGACTAAACGATCTGTCGCATCGGGAAGTGCTAAAGCTTAGTTGAACGAGATCACACGAGATCACAGTCATACTTAAGCCCAAAACAAGTAAAAAATCTTTAAGACAAATGTTGCTTGTTTGATCTTTTTGAAACCAGTCACAGTCTGCTCTGGATTCAATTGCAGATGATGGAAGGCCGTGAGATCAGAGTGTATTCTGCCTGCGTGCGAAAAGAGTGACGTCCTATTTTTACACGGAACAAATTATGTACTTTAAAGGGATTAACTTATTTTTTCTTATTTTTTCTTAGATCTCGAACGTCAAGCCGGTATTCAAATGCTCATGACGATTCCAACCACAGCCGAGCATCTTCAGCCTGCCTATCCCAGCCATCCACCCCACCCGATGCCTCAGACCCTCCAGAAGTCCACTATTCATGTAAAGTTGAATGAGGTAGTAGGAGACTCTTATCAGGGCAGGTCGGCCCAGACGATTAATACTAGTACCCTTGGTGCCAGACAAAGAGCCATGCAGGAGGAAGTGGAAGTAGAGGATGAGGAAGAGGAGGAAGAAGAAGAGGAAGAAGAGGATAAGGAGCAGGATGAAGATAAGGCAAAGAGAGAAGTAAAGACGGGCAGGATGGGTACAAGAGGATGGGAAGAGAAAAAGACAGTTAAAGATCATGGGCGAGGCCTGGACATGAGGTATGCTGCAGAGGTCACAGGATTCCAGGAACAGATAGGGATGACGGAAAAGCGTGATCTCATGAAGGAAGAGCTGGAGCCCGAGAAACAGAAAAAACTTACCAAGGAGAAGGTTCCAATGATGAGGCAGACACAAGCGAAATGGCAGGTAAGTCTTTAGACGAGTTGGCCACGGAACCTCTTCTCCTCTAATCTAGATTATTTCTCTGGTATTCAAAATTCCTCTTTATTATATTCGGGATCAAATTATAGTGTATTTTAATAAATAACCAGCATTACATTCACCCTCATGCAAGAATATAAAGTAAACATGAAGCATCATAGCAAAAAATGGAATATATTCACCCTCACTGGGGGTGTTGATAATACCTAGGCGAGGTCGAAACTGCAGTCCACCCTGAATGAGTACAACTTTTGGGAAAGCAAGGCTATGTGAAATGCAATAGACACCTCAGCTCTACCCATGTCATTGTGGGAAAATTGAACTACCAGTCCTTCATCATCTTAAATAAATTAGGGTGAATACTTCTCATATAACAGATTTAAGTGTAGTCTCGAAACTCTACTAACATACAAAAAATTGGATACAAAATTAGTCACCTTAGGTCGCTTAGAGTGGTTTAAGCACTGATAATGGAGTTTTCCCACTATTTATTTTAGCTTAACTCTGTCTTCCAAAAGGTTTTATCATCCAGGCTAGATTGCAGGTTCAACCGAGCCTGGACCTCATCATCTCCACCATCAACACCGAGTCATGCGTATTGTGGAGACAAGTTGGCTCTATGCTACACAAACCCAGGTCTCGAAAAGCACTCATAATGAATATAATTCATGGAATGCTTCGTTAAGTTAACAAAAAATAGGTAGTAAAAAATGTATGCTCGCAAACAACCTACCTTGTTGGCTTACTCTATCGGTGACTCTTTTGCCAATGACGGTTTCTGAATCTGACGACATCTGTTTTGACGAGGCAGACAAACGTTCAGCACCTATCGATCGAGATTACGAGGTGGTGCGCCGAGGGCTGCTTTGCACAATTTAACAAGCACGACATCTTCGGTTTTTGGGGTCGGTTAAATCAAATATCCCTTGCAACCAACTTTCCCTTTGAAACGAAGAATAAAATGACATTTACCGCTCATATTCCTGCGGCCATTCGCATGTTTTCTCCGGAACCAAGCCTTTGTTACGGTTTAGAGCCTATGAGTCAGAATGAAAGCCGTTTTTGCGAGGTCTGGCTTGACTTGAGCTA